TGATTCATAAATCTCAGAAGAGTCCATTTTAAATCTCTAAGCTTGATGGAATTTTGTTTCTCAGCCGGATGATTTAGTCATGAGCATAGTACGCCTCTCGCTGCTGGAAAACTGGAGAATTTTACCAAATGACAGGCTTCCACTTGAGAATTACTCTTCTTCAGCATGTTCTACCATCAAGTGTAAGATACAAACCTCCAATCAACTACACACGACTAAACCATTCAACTCAAAGAAAATAACTCCATCAATGTTATTTTTAAATTCCGAACATATTAAACTCTATTTTATTAATATTAGTCTTATTGAGATGTGGAATTTTCCTTTTTTACAGATCTATGTAGACAAGAAATTAATGAAATAAATTACTTTTCATTGAGATCATGAATCGATGAATGTTAGACCACCATTTAAAACCTGAAAGCACTGGACGATCGTTTCTTCAGCAGCGCGCATCCACGATCTCGCATGCGACATTCGAACTCAGGACCTTCCGTCTTGCGCGCGAATGGTTAATCTCTAGACCACTGAACCGGTATCCAACCTTGTTAATGTCTAACTTCAACCAATCCACGAAAATGAGAGACCATACTCTATTGTATTGAGGTAAATACGTGTCTCTATCTGATATCGATTATCTTCACTGATCACAGCCTCTCACTAGAACTCCGTGGATTTGCATTGCTGAGGAGTCTCATACTAGGACAAAACGGCCATCTAGTGCTTCCAGGTTTTCAACGGTGGTCTAACATTAATCGATTCACGATCTGATTCAAAAACGTAACGTTTTACCATTATTGAATTATGCCCTGTCTATTAATTACTACCTACCACATTCACAGACACATTTGGTCAAATTTTGTACAAATGTTATTTTCTATTTTATAGTACGTTGTGATCTGTTTGATTGGCATAGAAACCCTATATGTTTGAAATACATGATTCATATTGCAGGGGCTAAGATTGGTGTTCTGGACTTAACTGGCTGGGCTAGACAAGATGCAGGATCAATCAGGACTCTAGACTGCTCGTACGTGCTTTATGTATCATTGATCCGATCGATAATTCACTACTTCCTGATTGGCGGTATCGTTAAGTAATCCATTAACAGGGCACTCTGGCCACAAGTTATAACAAATAGTTCCACAGTATTTGGGCGCTGAGTTGATGTGAGACATTAAAGAGTAAGAATATATTTGTAAAATCTTAGCGAATGAATTTGAAGTAAATTCAACATTTCAATTGGTAATCTGGTTCAAACTTCTGATGTTTGATTATAATTCCTCGAAAAATCTTGGACTAGATTGCCAAGTGAAATGTTGGATTTACTTCGAATTCATTTGATGAGATTTTCGACTAATGTTCTGGATCATACCAACAAGTTTGTGAGACGAAACTAAAACTGTTATAAAGTTAAAAAATATTTTTACAGGATTGATGAATTTTTTCTGCGATGATTATCAATTTTTCTCCTGCTGAAAGTCGAAAAAGGCGTTTGTATGACTTCAGAGAATATACACATTCAAATATATTCATATTTGTTGTAAACCGTTTTTTTAGATGTCTTCGCTTAGCTTCCGGGACATTCATGTGGACTCCTTTAGTTGGAGAGATAAAGTGGTGTGTGTACATAATTATTTTGTGATTATAAGCATATCTTCAAAGTCACTTGTATGTTTGCTAGTCATACATATGAGTTGAGGTTCCCGATAGAATATATATATATATATATATATATATATATATATATATATATATATATATAACTTATTTGATTTATTTACGCCTGTTACTCCCAATGGATCATAGACCGCCGACCAACATTCTCCAACCTACTCTGTCCTGGGCCTTCTTTTGTAGTTTCATCCAATTCTTGTTCATTTTTCTCATGTCTATCTCCATTTTCCGGTGTAGTGTGTTCTTTGGTCTTCCTCTTTTCCTTTGACCTTGAGGAATCCATATGAGGGCTTGTCCTGTGACGCAGTTGGGTGCTTTCCTCAATGTGTGTCCTATCCACTTCCAGCGCTTCTTCCTGATTTCTTCCTCTATTGGGATCTGGTTTGTACTTTCCCACAGTAGGTTGTTGCTGATTGTGTCCGGCCAACGGATCCGAAGTATTTTGCATAGACAACTGTTAATAAACGCTTGTATCTTTTGGATGATGGCTCTGGTTGTCAGTAGGGACATCGGCCTCGTGACTTCCGAAGGAACTCGGCTTTCACCATGAAGCGTCATAATTCTTCTAAATGAAGACCTTCTAACTCCCAGGGCAGAGTTTAAATGGTTTGAATTATTTTTTCTGGTAAGCGTTTTTTTAGCGAGTTAGTTTTCTACGGGATGGGGTTGCTAACCCCATGCCCAACCCTCCTCCTTTATCCGGTCTTTGGACTGGCAGTAGCCCCCGGAGGGACTCCAGGGGGAGTTATATGTATATATATTATCGAAGCTTTCATATTGAGGAATTTCTTAAAATTCCTTCTTGGAGACATTTATCCCTGGGAAAAACGTACAAACGATTTATTTGGGAATTAGTTAGTACACTGTCTTTAAACGTCTGTTAGCATTGGGTTCATGGTATTTTTTTAATGTTATTCTATTTGTAAGCTGTAAATTAATCCATTAACTATTGTGACTTTATAAGCAACTTTGGATAGTGACTAGCAGTGGAACACAAAACGTGCATTTTGTTCTATTGGGAATCGGGGTGTATCTACATCTCAGACTTGATAATCAATCTGGGACTCGAACCCAGTAGGGTTAGCTACAGACACCATCACTCAGTTACTGAGTCCATCTTTACTTATAATGCTTGTGAATTAAATCAATATCGAGACAATACACACAATATGCATATATGCCGATAAGAGACTGATCAATTGCAGTCCTAAACATCAATTGGAAATTTCAAGTAAACAATACTAATTGAATTTAATGTGACATTGGTTACTATTCATTAGATTGAAATCAGATAATCAAATATACGTATGTTACTCAACCATTTATCACAAATCTCCTGACTATGCACATAATGAGATTTATTGGTTACGTTCCATTGTGGTTTTGAATCCTGTGTATAAAATCACGTGGATTCATATTATGATGTGTGCTACTTATGTCGACAGATATAAGTAGTATGTATAATCAATAGAAAGTGAAATGCTCGATAGCAGAAGGTTAAGAAGGTCAAAGAAAAGAGAACAAGAACAGATAATGATTGCTGTGAAAATGAAGGAACAGTGAAGTTTGAGATGATTGATTAACATTTTGTAAATGAAGTATTTACTGTATAGTTCTCAGATTTTACTAAGATATTCTGCAATTTTGTGTTCAAATGCATTCGACTGTCCCCACTTGCGTATTCGTTTACTAGAATTTGTCAAAAAAGGATTATTAGATACTTTACTGGTTTTTCTAGTGTTATGATCAATGGATTTAAAATGGATGAGCTTTGCGTTGGTAATCATTAATTAACGCATAATGTAAGAGTATTGGTTAACTCTGTACCTTTCATGCAGTTAAATTCATAATACTTTATGCATCATTTTCTGTGCATAATTACGTAATCATACCTATTTCATATAACTCCTCCTGGAGTCCCTCCGGGGGCTACTGCCGCTCCCAAGCCCGGATAAAGAAAAGAGTTGGGCATGAGGTTAGCGACCCAATCCCGTAGAAAACTAACTCGCTAAAAAACTCTAACCTATATACTTAATGATACTGTCTTCGGTAACATAGTCAATAACGTTATCTACAGTCTATGTCATTCTTTCAATTCTTTGAAATCATCCAATCAGTTCTGATTCATTCATTCCTAAAACGAAGGTCAACTGTACAATATAGTAATGAATTGACATTTATTCTAATTCAAACACATATATTCAGTGATCAATAATATTTGATGGTGAGACCATAATTTATAAATGAACCAATCAGATTTAGGATAACAGGTCTTGAATTTTGGAGCGAAATTCACTGATTCATTCGTTCGAATATCGTCTTGGCATTTTAGCTGGTGTCAGTTCATGATTAAAAAAACACAACCGTAAATCGAATTCCTAACTCTAATTATCAATTTTAAGTCATAATCCTTATTCTTCAAACTACGGTGAGACTCTAATTTATGGACGAGTCAATCAGAAGCGTTTTAGAGATTTCAAGGTTACGGCGCCAACTTCAGTGCTCAATGCTAACATACGATCGGTTCATAGGGAATTTTGTACAAAACGTGATAATTGAGAGGCTATAACAAATAAAACGGCGGGACTATAATTTGTGGACGAATCAATCAGGTATGAGATAATAGATCTCGGATCTTAACGCAGTTTTCCATGCATTTGGCTAAATAAATTTCTGTCATTATAGCTGATGTCAGTTCGTGATGAAAACCCTATATATAATTCCTAACTAAGGCAGATTACGACAATTATTGCGAACTGGATAATAAAAGCACCAGTAACACTGGCTGCAGCCAAGTACTACAATATATACGGATATTTGGAGAGCGTACAGACTCCTACATAGGCTTGGTTATGTGCATCTTGTCGTTATCCAAAAGTAGCATTTTGTGCACTCAACAACCGGAGTGCACACAAACAATATTGAAGCTATATGGTCGAGGGTGAAAGAGTTTCTAAGACTTTATCATGGCTCGAGAGGCCGACTATTCTGTAGCCGTATGGATGATTTCCTCTACTGCATGCATTACGATTTTATAACCTCTGAACCTTTTACTAACCTTGACAATTTTTTCAACCATCCACTTTATTTCCTTGGTTTCGTATAACATATTTTTACTCCATGCTGACTGTTTGCTGATTGGCCAATATTTCTCAAGGTTACTTAAGATTCGTTCAAAGGTCGTCCATAAACTAGAGTCTCGCCCAAACTACTTCATAACCATCGTTTAACCCTAGTAACCCTAGTAGCTACTCTCAAGATCATTTTGGCATCGTTCATCTATCATCATCATTATCGTCTTCTTTTTTCTTTTCTTTTAATAGGCTGATAAATCTTATCAAAATGCTATTGATGGTATACAATCTAATAATGATGAATATAATACAACCATTTATATTGAACCAACTACTGGTCTTATTATAAAAGCTCAAATTAAATTACAAATTAATATTGTGATTAGAAATAATAAAAAAATTAAACAATTATCTAATATTTCAGATGTTTTATTACCTTTAGTATATTTCAATGAATCTGTCCATTTAAATGAAACAATCATTCATCAAATAAATATGTTACTTATTCAATTACCAATGATTATTCAAATTGTTTTAATCAGTAGTATCGTATTCAATGTTCTATGGTTATGTTCAATTATATTTAAATTATTTAAACAAAATAGATATAATTTAAATGATCAAAGAATCAATGAAGAAAATCAATGGTTATTAAGTGATCATTGAGAAGGTGTCAAGGAAACGTTTATATATATATATATATATATATATATATATATTTCATGTAAATACTATAAACCATATGATAAATCAGAATTCATCAATTGTTCTATTCTATTGTTTTCTTCATGTTTCTAATATTTCTAATCTCATAAATAATAATCAATAAATCATTTGTTTTCAATGTAATGATATTTTACATGTTTAGCGTGGTGTCGAGTCCCGGTTGACTATGAACACCACTACAAAGAAACACGTGCCAAATAAATCCGAAGGTGAATGCGGATTAGAATCAAGTTTATTTCTTTGGCGATCTCGTGGTATTGAATGAATACCGAGATCGTGCCAAGAAAAGGTACAAGCGGAATCGGCAGGAGAAAGTACGTGCGAACGGGGTCACGAACCGCGAAACAGTAATGGAGAATAAAGGAGGAGCCATATGGCTGTATTTAGCACAGTAAAACAATCATTGGTACGATTGGTTATAATAATATTTGTTTTCATTAAATTAATCGCGTTCTCTTGATAAAAGCAGGTCACTACACATGATTGAATTCATCATGAATTGACTTTAATTGATTTATTATTCGAAGCTAGAAAGCACTGAATAGTTGCAACTTGATCGATATGATTTGATCTACACTAAGAAGAATCTGACATACATGACATTGATCACTACTCAGTGATCTGTCGATTTTAAATCCAGTTCAGTCTTACAGGAGGACAGTCGTGGCCTGGATAGCTTGTAGTGGCATTGGACCATAACCACACAATCCTCAAAGCTGAACATGAGACAACTCGGAAAATAGATATTCAATATTTAGCGCGGAGAAATACCTAACGATGGAAAAGGCGGGAACAGTTAATTGGATGAATTGGAGTTGATCGGATGGCATGGCTCGGCCATGCAGGCGTGGTCCCTCTGCATGTTACCTTGTATCTTCTATTCATATTAAATATATTGTTCCTTCTCTAGCTCAACCTTGTTCTACATCCTGTATTTGTAATTGATACGATACAGTGAGTTGGTGTAGTCAATGGTGTGACTTCCACGTAAGATCTTATAGATTAGGCAGTTATATCATGACAAATCTACAATGTTAGGATTAGGTCTATTGTTAGAGCAGTACTAATATCATAGTAGACCATAATTCTACAAGCTCAGTGGTAGCGTCTCTGACTGCGAAGCTGGGTGACGTGGGATTGAATCCGTCAGGGAGAATCAGTTCCCTTAAGATTGCAGTTACTATTTGCTGACTAGTGCCAAATAGCACAAAACTTGGGTTTAGGTTTTTCTGTTGATTACCTACAACCAACATTTTATCTCAGCATGGTACACGCAATGTTGAATCACCTAGACCAGTGGCCACATTGCAATTTGGTCGATAGTATTCGATCTGTACTAAGAAGAACCTGATATACATGACAGTAGTCACCATCCAATGATCAATCAGTTGTAAATAGTTTTTCTATTTCCGATTTAAATCAGCATCAATATCAGGCCATCAACAAGTCTAATCAGCAAATGAACGAAATAAGGGTTGTCTAATGCCGAAGATCTAGATGCAAAGGGAATGATTAGTCTATTATCAAAGCACAAAAATATTCAGCATATGACAATATGTCTTTTTTCCTTTTGTAAAACTCAGGAAACCTATGTTTGTACTGAATATTCCAATCTTTTTTCATCAAATTTATGATAGTTATGAAATATTATCGCACACCCTTCGCACATTGTGCTGTAAAAAATGTAATGGACGAATCAACTGTGGTATTTGTGTTAACTGATGATTTCTTCGTACTTGATTGACCGCTTATTACGAATTCCAAATATAATACGTCCATTATTGCTCATCTACTTCTGCCGGACTTAAATCACACTGTTTCAGGAATTCTTAGGTAACATATTAATTTGAATACTTGTCATTATTATTCCAACATACAATCACTTTCGTTAGGTGGTATTTCGAGTCACGAAGAGCGTGATAGAAAGTTTGAATGTGAAAAGCTTTTAGCCACTCAGTGCCTAATGGTGAAATTGTAAGCACTCAACTCTAGATTTCATTTCTGGACTATGGCAGCGGATGACATATGAATTGACTTAGTTGAGAGATAAATAGATTTTAGCTCCTAATGATCAGTTACAGTGTACAACTTTACACTAAATGGGTATTTATACAGTCTCTTTACTACCCACATCACAGCTAAAGCCTGCTTTTGGGTCCGGAAACGTCCTCGTTCATTCTTGCTTAATCTTCTCGAAATAAAAATAAGAGGTTCCCCATTCTGTTTTAGGATAGCACCTAAGTTCAGTGAAGATATATCTGTAGTAAGGATAGATTTTTCGGTCAGTGAAAACAGTCAGAGGAAAGCTTTACCATTCAAATATTACAGAGTGTCCCTCATATATCCTCATCCCGTTTTCCACAAACAAGCGCTTTGCTAGAAACCATGTCGAGAAGTGAAGATTATATTTCTATAGAGTTAAGAAGAAACCTGGAGTAAAAGTAAGGGACGCGAACACATGATTTGAGATATTCACAGGTGATGGTACTTACATCATTAGAGCTAGGCGACTCATATCAGGTTTAAAAACCTTAGGATCTACATTATAATGAAGTTGAAACTGACACTTGGATGACTTTACGGCCACATTTGTATCACAGAAGCGTCCGAATAACCTTAAAAAACTTTAAATACGCAACTCAATGTTTTCAGCATGACCTACGATATGATTCTGATACGGGTCAACACCAAGACTGATGATAATCTGATGTATAACATTCTGGAATATGCTAGGCGAAATATTGAATCCAAGCGGTAGGAAATTGCACATCAATAGTAGTTATTCACTCTAGATTTCATGCACTGTGATTTGCTATACGCACCTTTCAGGTGTATTTTAGAAAAAAATATGTCGTGATTTATATAGAATATCTCCAGTTTATTCAGTGGTGCAACTCTGTTGCAGTAGCCGAGTATTCAGTGACAGGCGGTAACCACCAAAAATTCTAGATGTTTTTCCATCCCCCTTTAATGGAATCCCTATGAGAGTAGCTCAAATGAACGACTTAACTGGGATTATTGTCACTTTTCCAATCACTTTATCTAGCTCATTCTTCACACCTTATCTTGAACCATGTAGGATTAGTCCACGCTTCGGGAAGATTTACTCTCCCTTTACTTCTATGTGTACTGGGTGAATTATCATACTCCCCCACAGCCCTCGAGCATTTTAAGACTAGACCCTTGATTAACATACTGTAGGAAGAGTTAGTTCATAAAGAAATTCGTACACCCAGCAATCTTAAGTCCTTTAACCCAAGTAAAGACGGACCATACTCACTAACCAGTAAAAGAAATATTGACACAACCACCCTCCTTTTTTCTGAATGGAATATCAACTCTACCAATAATTGGTATTTGTTGGTCAGTGATGCCAGCATCTCCATTATTTAAGAGTTTAAAATTGATATCATCATAAAGAAACAGTAAATTTCTCTTAGAAATGATTAACTCCATGCTTCTAGTATCGACAATAAACGAAAGGAAGTTGCCTGTGTTGGTAGTTAATTTTTGCATTAAATGTGAAGTACTGCTTCAGGCGGCATTAGGCGACAACGAATCCATCCTTCTCTCAAACTAGTTGATCTTGATCCATCATTTTTCAGTGTTTTAGTATTAAACGACTTTAAACTGTCACAAAACTTTCATGTATGTCCAACCTTTCCATATTTACGGTGACGTGCATAACAAAATAGACATGAACTACAAATATGTAGCCTATCACATAGAAGACAAGTTTCGCTAGGTTCACAAGGTTCTCAACCTCAGTGAATTTGGAATGTAGGGCGACAATCATCTTAATTTATGAGTGACATGATTAACTTCACTAGTTATGTCTGCTCGAAAAGGTTCCAAGAAACTCATCTTGTAACTAGTTGTAATTCTATAACTATCCAGTGTGTATTGAATAGTACTATATCGCGCCTACATGAGCTGTACTAGCTTTCGGACAGACCAGTTAATTTGTTCTTCCCAAGTCATTATCCGTGGTTGTATAAGTGAAGCGGATTGGAATATTTGAAAGGATAATAAATAGCAGGGCTTAATTTAATCAGGATCATGCAAGATGAGGCCCAACGTTGGTTGAGATTTGTGGACAAGAAACTGCTGTAGTTTTGAAAAATTCCCCAGAATCACTAATGCGATGGGCTTTCAATAATGACGTTGCCCGTGTTGGTTTTATCAAGGTTACCTAACTGAAGTTGTGGCTAGATAGTCATATTGAGTCGCTGTACAATTCGTTTAGCGCACTTCCTCCATAAACTTAATACTGAGTCTGTCAGTTTGACACTCGTCTCCATTTGTGTTCAATATTTATGGAACGATATTTTCAGAGAACAGTTTGCCAATGCAACATTAACATGCAGACAAATATACTACTTTCCCCAAATGTTATCGTTTTCTTCCCGACTAGTTCTCTGAAAGGTTAATGCACTTCATTTGAGCACAAATTTTAAGTGAAATTAACACCAGCATGGGTCGATATTTCCATACCAAACAATCTTTATATTTGTATTATCAGTGAAATAACACTGAAGCTTAGAAATATCTTCTGTCCGTTCGAACATTTTTTCAGAAAGCGTTTATTTACTCGTCAGGGATAATAAGGAAGTGGAATCGCATAGATGCCAGCATACGGTTGGTCAAGTTAAGAAGTCACTGAATGCTGCAACTTGGATTTAATATCATATGATAGAATCACAGTTCAACTCTAATGATCGGAGACCAGTAATAAAATAACATAATCGGGATTGATTAGTTTTATTATCTGGTCAATGGACGATGCCTGACATATCTCTGCTGCACTGTTCATGGGTTACAACACATCAAGCCGGCGTATGATAACAGATTTGCTACATGCTGAAAAGTACACAGTGACCTTAGAGTGTTAGTGAGAAACCAAAGAAACACGTAAGTTAATTGAAAAACCACCACCAAAAAATAAAACGTTACATAAGTAACGAGATTCTGGCACACTGAGAT